CAAGTGAAGTATCTTCCTCTCTTCAGAGAAATTTGAGTCGTGAAGCAAGACTTTGTTCCATCTGTGGCTCCTAATTCATCCCCAGTGATGTCTCTATCTTGGTGAGACTGACCGAGTATCCGATTGGGATGTTTATTTTATCTTTAGTTTATATTTTTCATCTATTTTGTCAGCATAAACATAACATTCATACATAAATACATGATACATGTGCATACTGTGTTTTGCAATGTTAATTACTTCATTCATCTTGGTTGCGTTTATCCCCAGGTGACTTTGTTTTTCATCTCTCCCAGTAGAGTTTGTCAATCTTAAGCAGAAAGTGTATATCCTTTCTAATTCCCCACCGAGTTTATCCCTAGTGGAAGATTTTACTTTAGCTTTCCTTTCCATCTCTGGATAGGATAAATCCCAAGTTCAGTTCATTCCTCATTGGGAGCAGTTTTGTTTAGCCGTTTCTCTCCAGTTTGACCCTGGATTGAATTTTGGTCTCTGATGATTATGGTTTTGAATCTCTCTAGGATATTAAACCTAGATCGAGAAGTGTATTTATTTTTCATACTCTGTCTCTCCAGGAAGAATCTTTTTAATGGATCCCCATTAAATACAAATCTTTATTTCCCGGCAGTGTTGTTGTAACACTTTATCAAAATTTGTACCAAGCGAAAAGTGGTAGTCTCTTTATTTGGGCAATTTGTTATTTTCTTGGACTTTTATTTGGATGATAGATGACAGTCTCTTCAAGACAATTTTTCTATCCTCAATAAAGTTATGAGCATATCCATCTTTCTTTCCTCAAATGGCATCTCTCCGGAAGTTCCGTCAGAGAAGTTTGTTGAAGATTTTTACAAGTGGCTTTTCTCTTTATCTGAGATATCCTATTACCAAAATTTTATTTGCTCCAATGCAATTTCAAATTACAGTTAACAATTAAGCCTAGTAAGTTCATTATCAAAATTCGCTTCCATCAAATGGCATCTCTCCGAGAAGTTTGGTAAAGACTTAGATAACCTTTCTCTTTATTCATGTTTCTCAATTCCACTGACCCGTATCTCTAGTGAAATTCCTAATCCTCTGTGAAGGTACTTTCTTACAAGTGATTACTTTCTCGGGAGTTTGTTTTACCCTTTCCAGGTGGAAGACTTGGTTAAAGAAGAAATTGAGACCTATTTGTGGCCTACAACATCGAAATGGCGGGGAAGTTTGTGTTTACCCTTTCTAGGTGGAAGACTTGGTTAAAGAAGAAATCGAGACCTGTTTGTGGCCGACAACCCAAAATGTAGGGAGGTTTATTGTTATCCTTTTCTGTTAGACGATGGCACGAATCTAGAAAAGGGGTTGAATAGATCCTTATTAAAAAATTTAGTCGGTGCTACCAATAAAATTGGTTTTCAAAAAATTGTTTAAATTATGGAAGCGGCCGTGGAAAAATTACCGTCTATAACGAACCGTTACCAGAAGACCGGATATGCGTCTAGCCTTTGGAAATTGATAATGAGAAATGAGCAATAAGAATAACTATGCTAGTCACACTATCAATTGATTTATATCACGACTTAGTATGACTAGTTCCAATGCTCATAAATGCCAACAAATTTAATGGACAACACAAGAGAATTTTGGTTCAGACAATTTATCAAACACTTGGTGTGTGAAGCACTCCAAGTGAGTTTGGCCTTGAGTAAGTAACTATGGTTTCCTTGTACAATAAACTATTGTACTAGTAGTCAAAATTACTTCAGCACTTACTCAAAAACAATCCTTAATTTGATAAATTTATGTGTACGAAAATCACTCAAATATTAAGCAAAATGAAAATGCGGAAAGTAAAAAGGCACAAGGATTTGTTGAGGCACTTCCTCTGCCATCCTCGCTTCGAGGTACATCTGCCCTTAAGTCTAACAATAGAATTGAGATCATATAATATATATGTCACCTGTTGTTGAATCGTTTATACAAGAATGAAATAGCAAATGAACAAACAAAACTCCCTTGTTGTTGAATGTGCTTTCTCTTCTTGTCACTTGATTTGAGTAGAATCAAGTCCTTCGATTGCTTGTGTTGAACCTCCGATTACAGCTCCTTTGTTGAACAACCTTGCATGTTCAAACCCTAGCCCGACTAATATCAAACACTTGCGACACGAACTCGAACCTCTCTTCCAGACTTCACAGATTCCCGCTACTAGATCAACATAACCCACTCCTCCTTGATCACCTTTGCTCAGATGAAAGTATATTGAGAAGATTCGTACCAAAAATCCCTCAAATTCACCCAATCTTGGAGGACAAAACCCTCAAGGTTTTATTCAAGAAAAACCTGCCAAAAACTCAACCCGAACCGGATTCCCAATCAACGGCTTTGGACGTTATCATTTCAAACAGTTCATGATGCACAACAAAAATGATTGTGTGTAATTGTTGTGGTATGAAATATAGAAGATGAAGATGATGAGAACAAATGGCACCTCTTTCACTTTTCTTATTTTCAATTGATTCAAATGTTTCAATTCTATGTGAGTAAAATGAGCCAATTTCTATTTATAGTATGTCAAAAAGTAACAGACAAAACTGTTTTTCGAAATAAGTGGAAAGACTGATATTATGCAGAAAACGTAGCGAACGGTTGACCAAACATGAAGAAGCAATTGACTGGAAATCCCCAGACATAACACATTAGGCAAAGTGACAAGCTATGCATCGACCATAGGTCGGCGTGCGCCAACCCGTAGAAAATCCACTTTCTGGACACCTTCTATGAGTCGACCAGAGCACAAAGAGTGGTCGACTCAAGCCCTTGTATTTTGCAAAAATGCCTATTTTTGTGATTTTGACACTTCTAGACTCAACCAATAATCTACCACTGATGTTTGACTCAAATATCGCTAGTTTGATTGATATAACATGCAAGCAAGAAAGACATAAGAGATATGATATGCATATGCCTTGTGGTGATAGTGCCAAGTACCGATTCTTCCATGTGATTGTGTTTTGACATCATCGAAACATACATATGTATAATATATGAGGATTTTCCATCACATATCCTTTTCAAGTAAAGTACTTGATTAAAGAAGAAACTGAGACCTGTTCATGGCCTACAACCTCGAAATGGTGGGGAAGTTTGTGTCGCAACTGCGAAAAAGGAGCCGGCGGAAACAAACATAAGATTCTCGACCGAACGTTATTTATCTCAAAGAGAGGGAAAGGGAACGATCGAAGAAAACCTAAGAGAACGGGAAAGACAAGGTCATCGCAGCCAAATCTCAGGTTCGAGAGTCGGTCACACTAGGGGAAGGTATGAGCACCCCTCACGTTTGTTGTACTCAACGAGATCCATGCTTGTTGTCTAATCTATGGGTGAAAACTATCTAAAGCTACTACTAAACGGGGGTGGACGAAAATAACAGACTCGATAGGACATCGTCGTCCTATGCCTACGTATTCTCTCGTGCAATGGGAAAGTCAGAGTCAATGTAACTCGGAAAACTACGGGTGATTAGGGGAGGTTGCTCGCCAAGACATTGTCGTCTTGTGCCTACGTATCCTCATCTGGTATGAGAAATCAGAGCAAACGTAGTTCAGGTAACTACGGATGAGGTTGGTTAAGTATTTTTGTGAGTGACGTTAAATCTCCATTCAAGCAGTTAGGGACGATGCCTGTTTGCAGTAGAACGGAGAGGTAACGTACTCTTTTTGAAAAGTGAAGTTTTAAATAATCCATAAGGATGAAAAGGTTTGAAAAAAAAGGTTGGTCTCGATTGCACTTGGGACAAGGGAAAGGGGAAGTTAGTTGTTAGTGTGCTCGTCAAGGATAGGAATCGTCGTGCCTACGTATCCTCATTAGGGAATAAGGAATCAGAGTGTATGTAGTTCATGCTACGGGAAAACGAGATCTCGATCGCACGAGGGCGAGAGAAAAGATCCTAGGCCTAGAATGCCTAAACGGAAATGGATTGACTTGGTTTGGGACGCGTACTGCACTAAATTCTAAGACGTAGGAACGAATGCGTCTCATATCGCCCAAAGGGCATACGCTAAACACTCTAGACAAGCGAGGAGAAACCCCTCCCTCGTCATTTCCTACTCACCTAACGCTCGGCGTACGATACTCATCGAAGTTATTAAGTGTTTTGAATTATGGTTTGACAGTGTTAATGAATCGAATCGGGACAAAATGTAACGTTAAACCGTCGTAGTTCGACTTATGAGGAAAGTTGAACTATAGGAGGTCGTGTAAATTGATATTCATGCTAGGGACAAGATAGAGAAATGATATTAAGGATCATTCTCCGATTTAATCGTGTCGCACGGATTAAAAAGGTGGGATCTCGTCTTAATCTCAAATATTATATCGATTAATCGAAGGGAGCCTATCGCAATCCCAAAGTAAAGAAAATGACCTAAATGGTCATTTTCCATAGATTTAAAATCGGGAAGGTTATCGACTTTGATAAACCGACGCTTACGAATAAAAGACTTCATAGATCGAGAAAACTGAATAAAATCGAAAATGAAGAAGAAATTAGGAGAGAAAAAGTGGTGGTCTCGGATCCATCATTATTTATCAATAGTTTGACTAGTAATGATTTTTGGAGGTCTCGTGATCGACTAAAATGAGGTATTACAAAGCCTCAAAGATAAATAAACACCAAAATCTAACTTTTAAGAAAACTATTTAAAACTTCTAAAATTAGAAGATAAATTATAAAATTCTAATAATTATAATTATGAAACTCTAAAAAAACTAATTTATAAAATATGTTAACAAATCTTTAAAAAACTAATTATAAGACATATTAACAATTGAAACTGGTTTTAGAAAAATTAATTAAAAAACAAAAAGGGGGTGCTGGGATTGATAAGGGGTGTGATAAAAAAAGAAGTTACGTGGGCTTAAGGCCCAAACCATGAACTTAACCTAAAAGAAAAAAAGGAACAAATCTCAGAAATCACAAACATTGTTCAGCTATACCATTCAAAACATGACTTTTTGATGTCCTAGGACAGTTCTTCACTCCCTAACAAACTAGTTCCTTCATATTCAGATATTCCATACTCAGAGAATTCATTCGCAGAAGAGTCTTCGAGTTTCAGCAACCGTCTTTTGTGTTCAATATGAGCCGGATGATCTGGAACCAGATCTACTTTGTGTCCAATACATAATAATATCTCAAAGTTTTGAATATCTGTGTGTGAGACCCAACCTTGAAGTGCAGTTAGCGAAGATAAATCATTCATGTCAAAGACCATCACCAAAGCAGTCATTTGATTGAACCCAGGAACATTGTCGACAGAAAACCCGTCTTGAAGATGAGCCATCCAAACAACAACATCAGTAGTATAGTATTTGGTGTTAATAGTCCAGCCGTGAACATTTACTTCAGAAGCCGAATTAAATGCATCTTCAGAATCAACAGATAACAACCGGGAAAGGAGGGTGCGTTTTCCGACGGTGGAGGATCCGATAATGAGGATTTCGGGTCGGTTTTCAAGAGAAACCGAATCTGTTTTTGATTCGGTAACATTCGTATGTGGCATGTTGGAAAATTAGTGTGAGCTCAATTACTCGAACAGTCGGAGATTGTGATTTTGTTCTTCTACTACTGATTGTTGGAGTTGTTCTTCGTTCATTTCTTACTGTCTTGTGTTCTTCGAGGTTTCGTTGTGGTGGAGAGGTTGTTCTGTGAGGAATGGAAAAAAAACTAAAGTGATGATTGAGTGAGGTTAGATGAAATAGATGCAAGGGAGAGGATTGTTGAGAAGGTTGTGTCAAGAGTGAAGGAGAGCCCCCTTTTTTTGTGTATCTTCTTTGGTCCAAAATGAAGGTTTTTATCTTGTTTTTTGCTTGTGTTGTATTCCTTAGGTTTCTTCTCAAAAGTGGTTTGTGGAACGGCTTGCTGTAGTTTTTTGGAGAGGGCTCGTTATGAGGTTACGCAGTTGTGGCATTTTCTTTGGTACGATTTTGTGGCTCATGGTGTGTGTGTCGTTTTTTTGGCAAAAGTTGGTCGGGAAGGACGTGGTACGTGGTTTTCGTGTGGGTCTGTGGTAGCAGGAAATTTTTGGAGTGTAGCATTTGTCCTTTTGATGAAAGGGGACGGGCTGTTGTGTAGCTGGATTTTGAAGTTATGCCAAGAAAAAAATAAAATAAAACAATAACAAAAAAAGAATTACATAAATAATAGAAAAACCTAGTTAAAAGTTGTGATAAAATAAAAATATTTAATTAATAATAAATAAAAACCATCTGACTAATAAATAAATAAAATAAATAAATAAATAAAACTAAAAGAAAAGCTAGTTATCTATACAAACTAAAATTAATTGGATTAACTAAAAGATTATCTAACTTAAAAACAAAAAGATAAAGATATTAAAGCTAATCAAAATTAAAAAAAGAATCCTAAATTCTAATTTCTAAGTTAAAACTAATTAATTAAATTTATTTTCTAAATAAAAAACTAAATAATTTTTAAACAAATAAATATATTCCTAATTCTAAATCTAATTGAAATTAACTAACTCTAAAACTTAATTAAAAACTAATTAACTCTATTGCTAAAAAACTTACCATTATATTATATTAACAAACTATAAAAAAGAAATTAAAGCAAAAATAAATCATAAAATGCCATGAAATAATAATAAAAAAAGGGGTCGAACACCGAAGCGCAACAAAATTATCAGCACGGACTGAACCACCAGGAAGAGAACAACCTTTCACTCGATTTCGAAATAAATCTCATCATTTGAACTGGTTTAAACTGTCTAAAATGCGAACAAAACGGTTGTAACGTCGATAAATGCATTCTGGCTGATAACATGGACAATATGCGAGAAATGATCGACCTAGATGATATGCAGATGAATGCGAAGCAAAAGCCAGTCAAAGTTAGAAAACGCGAGAGAAAATTTTGGGGTGCAACAGTTTGTTTTTAACCTTTCCATGTGGAATACTTGGTTAAAGAAGAAATTAAGACCTGTTCTTGGCCAACAACCCGAAACGTGGGGAGGTTTATTGTTATCATTTTTAAATGGAGTACTTGATAAATTGAGACTCGTTTGTGGCTTACTACCCAAGGCGTGCGAAGATTTATTGTCTGTTCAAACATATTACTTGATTATTTGAAATGGAATCCTATTCCAGATATAAGAATTTATTATAGTTTGAATTGTCAGAGTTGTCAATCTTCCCCCCCCCCCCCCCAGTGAAGTTGCAACCTTTTTCCCAATATACTTTTCTCCTATGGCATCATTCCCCATAGAATCCTTGTCTTTCATATCATATCATATAATATCATGATCATGATCATCTCTATGGTATCTTAGGGTCAAAAATTATACATGTTTGTATTTAAGTCTCTCCTATCATGTCGAGATGAAGATTTCAATCGTCATATCTCCGGATAGAAGAAACCTAAATAGGGCCATTTGTCACACCCTAATTTTTAACCCTAATATCTCATGTGTGTGTCTTTATGCATCTATAACCCCATTGGAATATAAAAAATATGTACCCTATTTTGATCTAATTACAAAATAGGGTTTTTGCATCAAAAAGCTTAAGAAGTTGGCCAATCAAGGATTTGTATGATCCTTAACTCTTAAACATGATCAAGATTATCCTTTCATCAACAATCAAGTGCAAAGTTTCACAAACTAAAAGTTCAACAAGCTCCAAATCATCTGGTACTCCAAATTAGGGTTTTGACCTAAATCTATCCTGGGTTGATTTTTTGAGCAAGGCATGATCCCAAGCCTCAAGATATGGTTTAAAGTCCTCAAGCACATCATCTTAACCAATTAATATGTTATTATTGGCTCATGAAGCTTGAGTCATTGATGATTGAAGAATTCTAGTTCAATTGAGAAAGTCAACTATTGATCAAAGTCAAAGTTTGATTTTTGAGATTTTTGGTCAAACATAAACTCCACAAGTCAAGGATCATGAAAATATTAATAATGACTTAGTTTTATCAACTTAAATCAGAGAAATAATTCAAAGATCAAGATTTGATAAAATTAGCGATTTTGGAATTTTTTTCTAAGTGCAAAACTTCATGATCAAATGACCTATTTTCCAAGAGTGTAACTTCTTCCTCAAGCATCAAATGAAATCACTTGAAATATACTTTGAAAGGTGGTATTTTATACTAAAAATTGGTGAAAATTGCAAGCCAAAAGCATTCTTAGATCGGAAGTTATTGATGTTCAAAGTTGGATTTTCGAGTTGTTTAAAAATCTAAAACACTTAGAAATTTTTCCTAAGATTTAGCATGGTCAAGTACATGAATTTGAGGATTCCTTATGAATAATTCAAGACACCTGTTTTGATGCTTGATAGCTGCAACTAAAGACCACATTTCATACTTTATTTTGGTGGAAGAATGAATCCAATAGCCTTCACCAATTGAAAGTTATGATTGACCAAAGTTGGGATTTCTTCATGATCAATCTAGTTCAAGATGAACCAGAATTTTGCTAAGTCTCTAGTCACACGAGTTTGGGACACCTTTTTCCAAATTTTCAAGCATTTACAAGACATGTAATCAACACAGAACCTATAGTGTCCCATGAAATCTCAACATTGGTACCAAATTTGTGGGAAAAGGTTCTCAATTCAAAGGGTAAAAGTCCACTCCAATGGTCCATGGTGAATTGTATGTTATGCACTGCATAAAGTTAAATTTTGATCAAAATATTTTCCACAAATTATGCAATTCATATGTACAACCAAGATAGCTTATCCAACCAAGAGGGATTGCTCAAAATGTCAACTTAAGTGTTGCACCAAAAGCATGGCTCAAATGTACTTGCATAAACTTTATGCTAAAAGTAACAATGTTCGTTGGATCATGATTCCACTTTATCAAATCTTGGATCTTCCTATCAAATTCACTCCACTATAAATAGAGCCTAATTTCACTAGTTCAAACACACCAAAAAAGCCTCCAAATCTTAGCATAGCAACCAAGCACACATTGAAGCATTTTTCAAAGTGTTCTTTATCTCATCACACAACCAACACTACCATATCTTGTTACAGTCACTAAACCTTCATTCAAACACCTCAAACACATCATAAATACCTCATATAACCTGCTGAAACTCATCAAGAAGCTTCACTCTATCTCAAACTAGAAGTCAACCCTCATTAGCCATCATAGTTGACCAAAGAGCCAAAACTTTGAATCTCACTACTATATGTTGTTACAGTCACTAAACCTTCATTCAAATACCTCAAACATATTCCAAATGCATTATAGAACCTTTCCAAACCATTGAACTCAACCTGTAACACCTCCAACCTCAGAATCACATTTCACTTTTCTTCCATTGCAAGTTGGTTTGGACAAGATAACTGAGGGCATTCCAAGGCAAGTTGAGCATCCTAACACCTCTCTGGGAGTTCATTAGAGCTAAAGATATCATCATCTCTCATCTGGAACAACTTTGAAGGTGCATTGGAAACTCTCTAATAGGTAAACTTTTTAACTTTTCAAACTTCATGATACAAGCATCATTTACATTCATATGAATTACCATTCTATTTGTTAGGATGTGAGGATCAAAAATCCTAAGTTATTGTTGATTGATTGTGCAAATTGGCATTTAATTTTTGTTAGAAGTTCTAGGGTTTCTTTGGTAATCTTTCAAATTCTTGAGTTATAGGTAAAATAAATAAAATATGATTACATATTCAGATTCCTTATTAAATTTTGATTGAGATAGGCTATCTATTTGTCTTGTTTGGTTTAGAAATTAGGACTTTACAAAGTTTGAAAATTTTGATGTCATGAGGTTGAAGATGAAGTTGTTTCACGCGTTTTTTTTAATAATTGCATAATATATTATTTTTAGGAGTGACAAACTAAACAAGGCCATGGAGCTTAGCCTGATGGTCATGTGTTTTGGGTAATGACATCAGGGGCGCAGGTTCGAACCTAGCCGCCCCCCATCTTCTTTTTGGTAACTTGTTTTTCATATTTTTCTTTCCTTTCTTTTTACTTAATTCCTTTTCTTCTTCTTTTTTAATTTTTTTTAATCCTTTTAATTTTATTTAATATACCATTTAAATACTTAAAAATATTTTATTATTTTATTTACACTTATTTATTTTTGTTTACATTAATTTTTTTAATAATATTAATTAGTATTAATTTTTTCTTTTATTCTAATCTAAACTTCAAAAATCATAAAGAAAATATTTTTGTTTCTTTTATTTTTACTTATTATTTTTTAGCACCTAGAATTCATCTCTTAATCATTTATTAGGCCTTGTATTTATGGATGCATTTCTTTTCAATTTGTTATTTATTAAGTACTTTAGAATTGTTCTTGCTTGTGATATTCATGCTTTGTTATAAGATGTTCAATGAATTAAGGTTTATATATTGCTTGCTTAGATTCTTATCCCAAGTCATGTCTTATCCTTTGTTCCCATGTGAATGTTACCTTGAATGATAACGTTGTGGTGATGATGATGTGTTTGCCTTTAAAGTCATGTTAATCTTGTCTTTGTTTAGGCCATGATCTAAGTA